GTTGATATTATTACCAACCTTGCTTTAAGTTTCATTGTCTTATCTTTGAAGTCGCTACCGATTACTGTATTTGTGACCCATTTATCTGCGTACTTTGATTTAAAACATAAGAGATATTGATTTTGTAGTTCATTTTGTATTGGCAACTGGGGGTATTGAGTAAGAACTTGTAGAAGAACTTGAACACTGAACTGAACACTTCCGGACTCCTTTAATGAACTGTTTTTGCTTCCTCTTAATCACCATTGTCTGCACCTGAGGTCAGGAATAACAGTGCTGCTGGAGAAATTGACAACAACCAGCTGTCTGTTCTCTGGAATTCATTATTATGAAGTCTATGACTCAGTTTTGCCACTTAGGATATGGATAGGAATGTGTCACAGGCCACGGCTCAGATAGGAAAAACGTATCTGACAACTCAGAGGGCTTCCTTCCTTCTCTCTGCGTGTAGAATTCCGAAGCTGTTCAGCATTCCCAGTTTTTTCTTTTTCCCTGTCTCCCCCTGCAGGCGGTTCTTTGGAGGTGAAGAAAAGCTGCAGCCTGTTGTACAGTACAAACCTCAGAGATCCTACAATCGATCAGCCATAGAAATCACACGTATGTTCTTGAATATTACTGTGGGAACAGTGAACACGCATGTAGAGATTTATGTTGTCCTGCTAAAGGCCGTACACAATAAGATTGAGTGTGTTCTGTCTGCAGTTGCCAACCTTGGTGTTAGCAATGAACTCCAGGCCAAACTTCAGGACGTAATGGTCATGAGGACCTTGCTCTCCATTGGGAAGATTCTTGGAGAGGGTGAGTGAGCAGTTTCATTTTGGGAAATGTGTAAGCACAGGAAACATAACTATATCTAGAATAATACAGATAACACTATAGTACACTAAGTAACACTAAGTATTTATGATTTGGTTTTCTTTAATCAGGTGAATTTGGCTCCGTGATGGAGGGACATTTAAGACAACTAGACGGAACATCAGAAAAGGTTGCTGTGAAGACGATGAAACGTGAGCTTTCTATAACTAAAAGACATATTGTGATTATCTGTAAACCATGAAACAAGTAGACACTTTCCTCTCTTTCTTCCAACAGTCGATAGCTTCTCTCAAAGGGAGATTGAAGAGTTCCTGAATGAGGCAGCCTGCATGAAAGATTTCAACCATCCTAATGTCATCAAACTGCTCGGTAGGAGTGATGTAATACGAAGAAGAATACCACTTCTCTGTTCCCTGGTCCATTTTCGTTTTGACATCCTTACATTATTTGTGTGTATTGACTTGTGTTCTTTAGGAGTGTGCTTGGAGGGAGGCTCAGGACATTCTCCCAAGCCCATGGTCATCCTGCCATTCATGAAGTATGGAGATCTACACAGCTTCCTGCTGCGCTCACGCCTGGGAGAGAGTCCACTGGTAAATAAAAATACATATATTACATAATAAATTATTATTAGACTAAACAATATAAACTTATAATTGTTATGATGTTTTGTGCTTTTTTTATACAGTTCTTGCCCACTCAGACACTCCTGAAGTTCATGGTTGACATTGCTTTGGGTATGGAGTATCTCAGTGGGCGTAACTTTCTGCATCGTGACCTGGCGGCTCGCAACTGCATGTAGGTTGCATGTGCCTTTTTTGTAGTCACTTTTAGATTTTAGGGAGGTTTGTCGGATTTGCTTTTAGTGTTGTTGTTTTTCTTTTTGTCTTACAGGTTGCGTAATGATATGACAGTGTGTGTAGCAGACTTTGGGTTATCAAAGAAGATCTACAGTGGAGATTATTACAGGCAGGGCAGAATAGCCAAAATGCCTGTGAAATGGATTGCAGTAGAGAGTCTGGCAGACAGAGTTTTTACTGTAAAGAGTGATGTGGTAAGTATTTCCATCTGCTCTGCTCTTTTCTGTACTTCTGTACAGTTTTAGTTTTTCTTTCAAATATGTGAATGTGTCAGATAGAGTACACTGCGTCTCTTCCAGAAACAGCAGTCACCTCTATATACTGTACTGTCACTAAAAGAAGAAGTGACCCATCTTTCACTCAATACTGCCTGCTGTAATTTCAAAACCATTTGTCTGAGATCTACACAGAGTCAGCTGAATTTACACAGCACTAATTACTCAGCCTTCCTCTTAAATGTGCAGTAAAGGTCTTTCTCACATCAATTATAAGTGTGGTAATTCTTGAAATCTTTTTTTTCATTTTTCCCTGCTTTTGCAATTTTAGGACTTCCAAAATCCAATTTTTGTGTTGCTGGCAAAAAGGCAAAATCCATTCAGTCAAATGAGGAAAAGATGTTTATTTTCTTATAGTGTAACATAAAAACTGGAAACTAAATCTGGAATAAAAAGAGAGACTGAATACATTCACAATTCACACAATTTTGTAGTGGACTACACATAAAAATGCAGATGATCCTTTTCAAATTATTTTAGCACGCTTTCATGTCAGCTCATTTTAAGGGTAAGGGTTAATCTAGGAAAGTAATAGTATTACTGTGTGCACTATATCATCATCTGAAGTCAGTATTCTGTGTCCTGCAGTGGGCATTTGGCGTTACCATGTGGGAGATTGCTACACGAGGAATGACGCCGTACCCCGGCATCCAGAACCATGAAATATATGACTACCTTCTTGAAGGACACAGACTGAAGCAGCCAACAGACTGTTTGGATGAGCTGTGAGTGTTGTCTCTTCTTGACACAAATGTTGAATTTGTGTTTAATAGTTAAGATGGACTAAATCCTGAAATTCTTTGTGGTTAAAATGCTATCACGTATCATGTATTGGACCTTCCACTATATGACCCCCTGATATGTAGTCCTCCCTTTTTAAGCCTGTGTTGCTGCAACAATCTGCAAACCACAAGCTGAACTTGAGCACACAGAAATTGTTTTGCACTTGTTTAGTGTACAGTATATACTTTTTTCAGTTCCCCTTCTTTTGGCTTACATCCAGTCCAAAAAGCGACATTATTCCCAAAAAACCCCCCTATAACCACAGACATGCAGTGAAAGTAGAAACTGAATATACAACTTTCAAGCTGATATTTGACTGGAATTAATGTCTCCAGTTGTGTTAGCTGCATCCAAAAACAAGGCTCTAATTGATATTAACATGTTATTATATGAGTTATTTACTTTATTTTCTTGCATCTAGGTATGAGATCATGTACAGCTGCTGGAGGGCCGACCCGCTTGACCGACCCTGCTTTCTCCAACTGCGAGAAATGTTGGAAAAGCTCACAGAAAAGCTTCCAGAGTCTTTCAGCAGGGACGATATCATCTATATTAACACCAGCTTTCCTGAAGAGGACCCAGATGGAGACACACTTCCTCCAGAACGTCCTTTGTTCAACTCGTCACCTTCCTGCAGCCACCAGGCAGCGGAAAATTCAGTAGTTACTGCGGACATTCATGGGAGCCTGGAGGATGAGGACGAAGAGGGCGATGATCGTTACGTGGTAGTGATCTCCTCTGATCCCTCCCTGAGATCTTCTGCAGTGGACACTCCTCTTTTGTCAAGTGATGCTTTAAGGCAAGAGAATGGAGACATGGTTACTGATGTGACAGCAACGGATCACAATTCGAGTGACACTTCTTTCCTGCTGTAAAGATCGGTACCCAACAGATCCAAACTGTAGTAAAACATTCCCCTTGGTTCATGAGTACTAATCGTTATGCCTCACTGCACTGGGAGCACCTTGACATTTCCTGATGTGGACTTGCATTGTAGCATTGTTATATGAGCAGTTTATGCTTCACCAGCCTACATGTCAGTGTTTGTCTATGTGTGTCAACGTAAAACATGTTCTTGCACATGTTCCATAAGCTTAAGATACACAGAACTGTGAAATTGTTTACTGTATGAATTGAATTTTATGTTGCGATGTAAATATAGAAATGTACAGAACATTTATAAAGTGATCTTATATACTGTAAAAATACCCGATTTCTTGAAGACTTCATTAAAGTGAGATACATTTTGCCAAGCTTCACTGATTCGCTCACTTTAGTGACAGCGTTTATACTGTCATGTAAATCAGAATTATCATTATAAAAGCAAATAGTAGTAGCTACAACAATGGCAACATATGTTATTAAAATAACTAGTCCTGAGATAACTTCTGTTATGAATTGGCACTATACAAATAAAATTGAATTGAGTTGAACTAGTATAAAGTAATTATAAAATCACAGGCAAAAAATACTCATTCTAAAAAAGTATGTTTAAGCATTGATGCAGTCCAGTGTTGGAAGTAGTACTCAGATTAGTTACTTAAGTAAAAGTACCACCAATAATGTAGAAATACTTGATTACAAGTAAAAGTTCTGCATCCAAAATTCAGCTTAAGTAAAAGTACATGAGTCCTGTGATATTATTATATGACTCATGTCACCAGGGCTTTACCTCTAAATTCATTAAATTATAGTATATGTTATACTCTACATGGTTAGTGCAAGTGGAGATACTGAAAAATATAATGTCTTTTATTGCTGCAACAAAGGTGCTTTATTGGAATCAGATTTGAGAATAACTACACAATGAATCTACATGCACAGGTATGTAACGTACTGCATGTACAGGTATGGGACATATTGCTTAAGTATGTACTGTGGGTAGTATATGAGTGGACATATACTGTTATTTTATGGAGTCAAAAGCACCATATCCCACTGACATTTAGTGGAGGAAAACTGTCACAAAAGGGAACATTTAGATAAACACCAGTAGCTTAAAAACGTTGTTTATGTGCAACCTTTAGTTGTGATTATGTGAATGTGCAATTAAAACCCCACTTTCAGGTGGGATTTAAATAAGGTTTTGTGATGAAACAATATCTGACTAAACCTGAGGGTCTAGGAGGTATAACCGCATTAGACTTATTATTATTATTATTATTTTGTACTGAAAAGCAGTCAGCCCCCATCCCGGGACAGGTGTTACAGCACAGGTAACATCACACGTCACTCCAGCTGTTGCGTTCAGGGCGCCTCCTACAGGGGAGCTCTCAAAAGCCCACAACGAACATGGCTGCTGCAGTCAGGATGAGGACGTGGAGCTGTCCGACCACAGGAGTTTTCTATCCATGGGCAGTCGTTTTTGTAGTTTTACTTAGCACCATAAACGCGGTCGTCGCAGCGCCAGAGAGAGGGCTTTGGAAAATCACAGTCGTAAATGTGAGTATCTTCCAGGAAAATAGGATAACAGCGGCAGCTAACGTTAGCCACATTAGCCTTGTTATGTCCCCTCGCTATCAGCTGTGAGTGTAGACACAAGACGTGTGAAACCGGCATTAATCGTGTGGCGTTAACCACCCTTGACTGCGGCTTGCTGCCCTTAATGGGTTCAGATAAAGAGTCCCTACCGAAAGAGCAGAGTATGTCGTTAGCTCATTAGCAGGTAGCCTTGTAGAGGCTGGTGTGCACTTCAAGGTTAGCTGTCGGCTAACTCGCTGGCTCCAGGTTAGACTGCTGTCCTAAGAGTATATATCTGTCGTTAACCCTAAGAGACCACCTCTTGAGCATCACTTGACATCCACATCCCAGTTTGAACTGTGTTTTCAGGTTTCTGTGCTTACTCCCAACACCTTATTGCTGTGGTGTGCATGAAAACACACCCAGAAAGTTGATTTACAGTCAAAGAGGAGCCCCTGTTCTTGTTTGGTCACTTCCCAGACTTGCTCCAGGGAGAACTAGAAAGCCTTGATCAATAATTTAAGTATTGAGAAGTTTCAGGTTCCCTCTGTGGTTGTCTCTGTATCTAGTTGCAGTATTATGTGTGCTGAGAGGCAACCTGGAGAGGTCACAGAACTCATACAGACACATTTATACCTGAGGATAATATTAATGTCTATGAGGTCTGTTTCCCTCTTGGCAATCACAGAAAGGGTCCAGCCTGATTAGCTTTGAACCCAGTGATAACCACTGAACCCCCATCTTTACCAACTAATTATATAATGATAAATGAGACAGTGTTTTCACTCTTGTTAATACACGTTATTTACTATTCCGCAGACCTCAAGACCACTGCTGTTAAAGAAATCAATGTACAAAGACACTGACATCGAAATGAAAGGTAAGACATGGGAAAGTGCTCATGATGTATCACAAAAATTGTGATTTTCCCCCTCATCATCCCTTGTGTCTTCTTTTAGTTGTGTCCCCTGGCTGTCCTGAGGAGGTTACATTCACTATTCACTGGTATTTAAAATACTACCCCTGTCACAATGAATTCAACAATGTCGAAGTAAGTACGGAGTCTTAACATCATACAGTTGATCTGTCTGGATTTGATCGTCTATGAATGCTGAATTGTGATTGTCGTTGTCTGTAGGAGATGTATGAGAAAACGGCCTTGAGTCGTGGAGGGAGCCTGGATCCAAATCCCCTTGGACAAGGAGAGTACATCGAACACCAACACAGTCCCATACCATGTAACAGTGGAGTGCACTCTTTTCCAATTCTCAAAGTAGGTTTGTTACATTACTCTCCGCAGCATAGTGGCGCACTGGTTATCTCTCCACATTAGTAACTGGTTGTGTTTTTCAGAAAGCCAAGGCAGACCCACAACCAGTCAGTCCGCCTGTTGAAGGGGAAGTGCCAGTAAGAAAACATAAATGCTCTTTGATCTTAATAGAATAGTGTTGCAAAGATTTAAGTCTCCCAGAAACATAATCTAAAAGTATTAAGCGTCAAAAAGCGATAAACACTGCATTACTTTTGTGATACTGCAGGATGAAAGTGACACCAAAGGGATAATGGAGGAGTACGACAACAGCAGTTTACATATCAGAGACAATGTCATAGCCACCACGTGGAAGGACGGACCTTACTTGCTGGTTGTTAAGATTGTGTCTAGTAAACAGGATGCCAACTGGAATTTAACGGGTGAGATTTTCTAAACGCGTAATTACATTATGAGCATAACTAATATACTGTGTGACTGGCATGCGGGACCATGATCACCCTGTATTATTTTTACTCTAGTGTGGATTGATTCAAATGTCTGCCAGAATGGTGCTTTAATATGCAGAAGTAACTTCCTTAATCACAAGCTGGCTCATAAGTTGTTGTGCAGCCGACGCTGATGTGTCAGCTTTCGAAACCACCGGAAACAACACTTGGGGTTGGGTAACGTGCTGCATTTCTCTTAATAACTGTATTTTGTTTTCTTGTAGTTAATGTGGTGATGAAAGGCAGCCATGGTTACATTTCTATCACAGAATGGCCTCTCATGATTGTAAGTATTTTACTTGTTAGAAATGTTAATTACCTATTTGTAAAATAAGTGGTTTATGCTTTAAAGGGTTAGTTGACCTAAAACACAATTATACAGTTGTAGCTCTGGTAAGCCTAGTACAGTCTGACTACATTCGTAAAGACGTGGTTTCTTATGAAAAAAAACACATTTCCTGTTGTGAAGAATTAAATGTAGACATTATCAACCTTTAAAAACAAATACCTTTTGAGCTTCACTTTATTGACCTGAGCAAACCACGCTGAACCTGAATGAGTAGTCAGTACTCTGTAGAGAAGAAAAACAAGCTGTTTTTGGATGAACTGTCTGATTTTTCTGGAATTTGGTCTCCAGCTAATGAAGAACAACTGTTCCCATATGTGTTTATACGCTAATCCCTCACTGTCGGTTTGTAGTTCTACATGGTGATGTGCATAGTGTACATCCTGTACGCCCTGCTGTGGTTTATCTGGGCAGCGTGCTACTGGAAGGATCTGCTGCGGATCCAATTCTGGATAGCAGGGGTCATATTCCTCGGGATGGTGGAGAAGGCCGTCTTCTGTGCCGAATATGAAAACACCAACACGTTCGGCTCTGCTTGTGAGTGTCTACAGATCGTCACAAAATACCCTTTTCCCTTTTTCACGTGAGATAGCGAGGTGTTTGGTTTTGAAAGGTTATTGTTTTCCTGTTGCTGTTTCCTTTAGCTCCAGGCTTGTTGGTCTTCGCCGAGCTGGTCTCTGCCCTCAAGAGAACTTTGGCTCGATTGCTCGTCATCATCGTCAGCCTCGGTTATGGCATTGTAAAGTATGTCAACATATCTGTACACAAAGCTACTTGTATGAAAAACCCCTAAATTATTATACAAACAGAATTAGTCAGCCAACGTTTAACTTTCTGCGTGCCTCTTTGGTTTTAGGCCTCGACTGGGGACCGTAATGCACAGAGTTGTGGGGCTCGGCATCCTCTACTTTGCCTTCGCGAGCATTGAAGGTGTCCTGAGGATTACTGGGGTGAGTTGTGTTCTCTGATGATTTAGTGGAGGTCAGTCTATACAAACAGCAACAATAACAATAACATTTAAATTCAAAGATATTAACAACAATTTGAATCAGAGGAAAGCAAACAAATCTTCAAATTTGAGAAGTTCAAAGCAGCTTTTTTTAGTTAGCTAATTCCAAACGACTTCATTAACTTTGTGATAATCATGAGTGGACTCATTTTTCTTCTTCTTTCACCAGTGCTTGATTGTTTACGACCTGATGTGAAAATAAGCAAGAATATTAGCAGTATTAAAGCTCTGGTTTGCTGTCAGATTGTGTTTTGAAGTACTGACATCACAATTTGTCTACTTTCTTGATTCGCTGGGGGTCCAAAAATCAAGGGTCGAGACAATGGCCCCGTTCTCATTACAGCAATTGTTCTGGCTGTGTTTGACTCCTGCGCCATCTGGTTCATATCCTTCCCGTGTACTCCTTAGAAAAACCAATAATCAATAGTTATTATACCATCATGTGACAATGTGGACATATTACATTAGATTATTCTTGCTTGGTTTGGATCATTTGGTATTTTCTTCTTTGCACTTTGGTGAATGGTTCTATATTTTACTGGCTATGCTGCCTTTTTTAAAATCTTTTATCCTGTCTTTGATTTTTTTTTTCCCCCACATCGCTCTCTTCCTTGTATCCTGTGGTCCTGCTCTATCCTCCCTTCTAGGCGAAAGACTCTGATTTGGCCCTGCTGGCCAGCATTCCCCTGGCTCTGCTTGACTCCTCTCTATGCTGGTGGATATCCTTTTGTGCACCTACAACCTTTCCCTGTGTGGTTCCCCTCTGCCCCTCACCTCCTTCACATGAGTCCAAATTAGACCAGGAGGTTTATCTGCCACTTATTCCGCTCCCAGATAATTAGCAGTAAAAGAGCAGTTGGCAGAGACACATGATGCACCTCAGATGCATCATGTGTCTCCACAGAAATGGCTCTGTATCAATCATTCATTTTCTTCTGAAATTCAACTCCTTTTATTCTGGTTGATGGTTTAACTGCATCGTCACCGCTTCTTTTCTTGCACACTCCATGACATTTTACTCTGTTTCCATTAATGAAAAGTCCTGGTCTGAACTAGCAGAAGTTGATTGATTTGCATGCCCACCCACCATCTTTAATTGGAGGGGGGTGGTCCTGTTTCAACACTAATAAATATGGGTGTCAGTAGGATGGACGATGTGGATAAAATGCTCTGTTGCAATATATTTAACGGTCCAGTGTATAATTTCTGAGGGTCTTCTAGCAGAAATGGAATATAATATTCATAGGTATGTTTTTATTAGTGTATAATCGCCTGAATATAAGAATTCAGTTACCTTAGGATGAGCCTGCATGTATCCTCAAATACAGACAGGATCGTTGTTCACTTAGTTGCAGTCTGCAACTTCATCACTAGATGCCACTAAATCCTACACACTGGTCCTTAGATTAATATTTTGATTGTCGATTAAAGAAGTTAAAAGTTGTTAAAGCGATAGTTCCCACTATTGACTGCAGTGTCTCGAGGAAAGAGTTGATTGTATAGACAGGTAGGTGTACCTATTAAGTTGGATTGTATAAAATCTTATTTATCATTGCAAAGAATTACTGCAAAACATAGATATAATCTACAGAATGACATGTAAAGGGTCCCATTAATTCATTTGTAATATGGTCTCTGTGTAATGTCTGCCACATGTTTACCTTGACTGCAACTAACATCTTTGTCAGCCTGGCACAAACCATCAAGACTCTAAAGCTGAGAAGAAACCCAGTCAAGTTGTCTCTGTACAGGCACTTTACAAACACACTAATATTTGCTGTTGCTGGTAAGTGGTACAACAACACATGCAAATATAATAGAATATACTACACTCTCTGCCAGTGCTCATGATTTATAATTATTTATGTTTTCATTAATATAAAAGTATCCCTTGGAAATAGTTGAGTTTCGAACCTTGCCTTTTCTCATTCAGCTTCCATCATTTTCATGGGTTGGATAGCAAAAAAGTTTCGGCTAGCAGATTGCCAATCTGTAAGTATGGTTTGGCATATTCATATTTCTAGTAGTGTTAAAAATAACAGGTATTAGGTTTACATTTTATCTGTCCTGTTTTTGTGTAAAAAGGATTGGATTGAGCTGTGGGTGGAAGATGCTTTCTGGAGGTTCCTGTTCTCGGCCATTCTGCTTGTCATAATGTTTTTATGGAGACCATCTGCAAACAACCAAAGGCAAGTACTCCATTAGACATAACACATTCCTTTTCCTTACTGGTGCTTTATTAATGAGTTACTTTAAATGTCCACAGGTATGCTTTCACACCTCTCATTGATGACTCTGACGATGAGGAGATTGAGGAGTTCGTCACCTCTACAAACATTGGTACAGGAACCATAATAGGAGCGTTACGTTTACCCAGAACACTGCAAACATTGAATGTATAATAATCTTGTGTTATTTACTTTTCTTCTTTCTTTCCTCTGTTTCTTTTCATATTTACAGCTGATGGCATAAAGTTGAGAACATCTAAAAGTGAGACGAATGGCACAGTGAAGCCTGCTGAAACAAACCCAGTAAGTAACACATCTGCACACTTTGAGTAGTTCTGTATTCAGTGTGGTTTATTAAAAACTAAGCATCTATAATAAGACTAGTTATCCAAGTTTAGAAAATGCAGCTGTACAAGTGTTACATATTTCAGCAGATGGCAGTATTTACTTTTTTCCGTCCTCTTTTTCTACTTGTCCAGGAGGATGACTTGAAGTGGGTGGAGGATAACATTCCTAGCTCTCTTACTGATGTGTAAGCATCCTATCAAATTTATATTTATTACTCCAGACTTTATATAAGGCATATGTGATTATAATTCTCTCTCTCTTCCTGTTTGTCACTGCAGAGCTCTACCAGTCCTGCTCGACTCAGATGAGGTATGAATGACTTTACTCAATGATACACAAACCAGGATTCACACACAGCATATTATATCTTTAACCAGAGACAGGTACTCTATATATATGTGGAGAAACAGTAAGAAAGAAATCCTTGATTGATCATTTTAAGTTGCTGGTTCAGTGGCAATATGAGCATGGTGAAGTTCTGAGGGATTTTAAGCTCATTGTTTGTTCAGACCTACATTGAAATCAACCACATATTAACTGACTGTTAGCTTAACCCCTCCCCCAAACTGGGAACAGTAATTAGGCACAGCACACTTTGGATTTCTTCACATGTGAAGTGGAATGCCTGCTGCTGCGATAGAGTAACTGCACACAGTCTTAACAATTTGCCTTGCCAACTAGTGGTGACAAAATGCTTTTCCCACAGCCTGTACAGCAGCAGTGTATCGTGGCTCTATAGTACTGCAGCTAGATAACTACAGCTGATAAAAGCTGTCAACTGTGATTTCAGCCGGCCAGAAATGAGAAGACTGCTTTTGTCTACGTCTCTCTGAAATTAAGGATCCATTGTTTAAAACGTTATTATTTTGGTACAGTAGTTATTGTTATCGTTGTGAACTGCATATGTGTATGTTTGTGTAATGTAAAGCTTGACAGGTGTAGCAACAGTAACTAAGGAGCTTCAGGCTCAGCTAGCTGTACATTGCAAGTTTTTGCTGAGAAAATGTAGTCTTGGCCTTTTAGCATTCATTGTTTAAACATGTTTGAGTGGTGAAGTTGCCACTGTTATCACTGTGAACTGCTGTGCAAGAAGGGAAAGCTAGCTAAACGGGTCATTGCGACCTCTACAGTCATGTAGTAGCATAATATCAGGCAACGGCATTGGTTTCCTTTCTGAAAGTAAAAAGTAAAAATTAAAACTTGATAGTCTGGACAAGAATGTATAGTTTATTTTTGAATATTATTTCCCAGGAAATCATGACAACCAGATATGAGATGTCAAAGCTGGAGTGAGGCAAAGAATTTCGCCATTGGCTGACATGGAGGAAGACCACAGCCGCTGTCCCTGACTCTGCAGTAGGGTTTTCTCCAGGATTTCCGGTCGGGTGGTGGTGGTGGTGGTGTGCCATTTAATTTTGCAGGGGATCTTCCAGTATGGTTGCTACTTCCAAGGGTGAAGCAGGCCGTAATTTAGGGTGACCTCTGCTCATCTCCTCATCTTAAGAGCAAAGGACTCGACCAGAGGAAAACTGTCTTTTCACTGACCAACTGGTTCACTATTTTCCTGATATAATCAGTTTTGAGCCTTTCTTTCCAAAGAGAATGTTTCATTTTATATTAAGTGCTGTATTTATTTCTGTTATGTTCATGTGAATTTATTTTATCGGAGAATTAAGAACAGTGGGCCTCATCCATGAACATACTCTTAAATATACTTTAAAAGACTAAAAGGGTCTTTTTCAGGGTATCTAGATATTATAAGGCTGGTTGTATTAAAATGCTTATTTATGATGGAAAAATATTTGAACAGCCCTTTTTTCCCAGTAATTAACACTAATAATGATTGATCATAGCTAGTTTTGCCACCAAGAGAGACATCATTTAATTTCAATGTGTTTATTAATTCATTTCAACCAGGATCTTTATGAAATTGTGAAGTTTGCAAAAGTTAAGGAATTCAGTAAAAAGTATGTATTTTTTATGTGACAGTGAATGTCTGAAGTAGCTTTTTTTGTTGCCTGCATATAAATCCGAGACAGGAAAACATTTAAGAATTCCAACACAATGATTTTAAGTAGAACATTTGCTCTTACGCACTTTGAAGATTGAAGCTACATGTAGTTCTTGTATGAGGCCTAATCTGTTGAGGTAATTGAGAACAATATGTATGAAGGTATCGTTTATGTCTCAGATTGAAACCACCCAGCATCCTCAGTATTGGTGAGTGAATGGGTGTGAGAGGGACAAAGCACAAACAAGTGATTTGTACATTTTGAATTTAAATGTAACTGGGTTCAGTCTTGTTGAATTGGGGTCGGCAGTCATGCTTTAAGTCTACTGTATGTGTGTGTGGGTGGGCTTCGTGTCCTCGGAAATAAGGAGCAATATACTGTATGTATGTTAATATGGAGTTCATTATTTATTTGTTTCAAGTGTACTTATAATTTGTTAAACCGTGTGTTCACCCAAGTTTACTCTAAATTGTGTTTACAATGTGTGCTTCCATATTTGTAATGAGTTGGACCCTAAACAATCTCACAATGTGTGAGGCAAACTGCAGTTTGTTTCTTATTTCTTCGCATTGTTTGCCTTCCTTGCTGATAAAATCATTGTGTTGGTTTCACAGACACATTAATAACATTCATGTTCTTTAAAGAAGTCTTAATGTTTATTTTTTGGTTGTTTTTGAAATTGGTTGCCCTGGTGTTTTTGTCAGTGTAGCTTTTGGAGTTGGGGCACTGTCTTCATGTGTGTTGTCTTGAGTCAGTGTAACAGCAGGACTTGTAATCTTGTCTGTCTAGGTCATCCCTTATTATGACACATTCGTTGTGTGGTTAGCACAAGCACAAGCTGATCACTTTGGTTTATAATGTCACTGTTCCTTTCTTTTGGGGTTGGAAACCTGGAATTACTGTGCTTATGATGGCAAGCTGTCCTGTTATATAAAACTGCAGACACCTGCAGTGGACCTCAATTATTTGTACAGATGGGTTTTGACTGATTCCTGTTATTTCATAATTCCACAGGTTGAGAGGTGTCTGGATATTATGACTCTTTTTTTTTTTTTTTTTTCATGGATGTCATGCAGAACCAGGATTGAACTTTTCATACCAGCAGTTTTATTCTCTCTTCCTTCTCAGGAAGTGTGTACACTCGGATTAAAAATGAATCGAATACTGGAGAAGGGTTACTTCCTGATCTATGATTTTCAGTATTGATTTGGTAATAAAAATACATACATTTGACTACGCTTCTGATTTTGTAATCAGTTCAAATCTGTTTCTTTTTAAGTCTGTTTTTCAAATACCAGATTCAAGAGGAAATAGAAGTAACTGTTGAATGAATGGACTATTGTGAGTAAAATTATGATGAATGATAATGAAATGCAGACTGAAATACTGAGGGGAGAGTTTGAATGAAGCCCAGTTGCTGAAAATATAAACCCAGAGTTTTCTTTCAAGCCATTAGCTTTTAATAGGCTTGTGACTAAAAGGACTGAAACAACATAAAATCCACAAAACAACTCAATGTACTTGCCATGACAACATTGCAAGTTGTTTTTTTGGAGACCAAACTGGTTAAATCTTTGAAAATGAACTTACATCAACAACTGAGCAACCTGCTACATAAATTTTCATTCATTTTTACTGCTGTTTTCATGTCAGGCCATCATATATGTTTTCTATGCAAGCTGAGAAGACAGCATCAAACTTAAGTGTCATTCTTATGGTCTGTAATGGCAGATCCTAGGTAATTTTTAAGCTTGAGACAAAAGCAAAGGGACCTTCATTCTCCTTTCCTATACTCTCACATATCTCTGGATTTCTTCCAAACATTTATCCCACATGAAAGATGATCTGTGGACGACCTCTCCCCCCTCCTCCTGGATAATAAAAGTAAAAGCTAAATTCCTCCACAATGCCTTTCATTCTGGACTAACCCACCAGCAACACACGTGCCTCTTTTCTGTTTTGATGGAGATCCAATGATAGATTTAAAGCGTCACCTCAAAATGACTTATGGTTTTGTGCTTGAATGGGTAAAGTTATTGCTTTAGGAGGATCCTGTATTTACTGGAATTTCAAGAATTTATGATGTGGAGATTGCTTCCTCCTTTTTGTCAAAAGGTACATGTTATTTTTGTAGGCGGCATGTGACTGGGAGCTATAGACCAACTACTGTTCAGTTTCCTGGGGTACTCAACTACAAAACACTTGTCTTGGAGGATAGTAATGCAAAGTATTGGTAAAGGGAACAAAGAACAGGGGTCATACCAACGCCAAACGTTTCAAAAACACACTAGAAGCTTAATTAAACTGGTATTTACTGCAGGCTACCATATACCATCTACTGTATGTGTGTTTCAGTTTTGTTCACCCCCATACTGTGCACTAAAGTCACCATGACCATCACCATGTTTCTGTGGCTCTGACATAAAACGAGTGTAAACCACACTCCGTGCTGGCTTTGACTCAAGGCCCTCTACTGTATATTTTTATCATTACTCTCCAGCAAATGGCTTGTGTTATGAAGCTCAGCGCTCTCAAATTGTCTCTGGCAATATCCTTCCGCCTCAGAATGGATGAAACATGTGAACATCAAACAGCCCGAGCGCAAGCCTGGGACAAAGGCTGCAATGTGAGTGCTCCTGGTATGGTTACCGAAGGAAATTACGCCTGCCATTAAGGCACGTTGTCATTTTCAGAGCAGTGTGTGCCGTTGGGGCATGTGTTTTGATTCTCGCCACCCACTCCTCCTCCTGGAAGCATGGAGCTCTTTTGGCCCCTTTTATTGCAATGTAAACCCCTGGATGGAGACGTGAAGGAAGTTAAGAGAACACATGTGGTGAACATTAGTCTCTTCTTTCTCTAACAAATAGACACACTGAGATATGTTTTTTAAAATGTTACTGTTCCTTGTATTAAAATCAAAGGGAAATACTGTGAAACTCTTTTTGTTTCCAAGCCATGTGGGAAATGTTGCTGTGACTTGTATTGTCTGTGAACTACTGCCCCAGGGGGTTATGTTATAAAACACACATTCTTTCTTCCTAACCTTTCTTCCATTCGGTCAGATAACTTTTTATAGCCATCCAGCCTTCATTTATCAGCTATGCGTTGGTTTGGATTTCGCTCATTAAAATTCACTCATAATGGATCCGGAATGAAAACAAGCAGTGCCACAAGGACATTTAATAGTACACTGCTCAGCATCAAGTGAGGTAGTTCTAACAAATACTGAAATGTTGGACTGACTTTATTTCAGTTATGTAGAGACAATTAAAATTCCAGATAAATTGTGTAGTGCATTGGCAAGCTTGCCAAATCATCTTTGATTTAGAATATAATGAGACTATTTCTGGGTAACATACAGATTGTGAGTAATAGAGAAAATATGCCCAGGTATAGTACTGCATCTACTGTTTAAAAAAAAAAAAAAAACTCATAAAACTCCCTTAGTATAATGAATGGTGCCTTAAACGATGGCAAGCTAGTACAAAAAACAAAACAAATATACAGTATATGATGGAAGATAAACATGTGGTGTACAGTATGTTACAATATAATAACCAGCAACAATATTTCCAATAAATTAGAGCCACAGGAGCACTAATGTCTTATAGGGATTTATCATCAATAAAGCAAGGGCAGTGCATCAGCCCCGGGGCCGGACCCTGAGCTACACAGACATGATCTATGATGGACATAATAACACAAACATAAAGCAACAGCAATGACAAACGCAGTTATCCATCCCTCCCAACCCATTCATTATGCTTTTGTTTAGCTAGTTTTCATGCATTCAAACACACTCAAACATCATCACTCAAAGCTCATACTGACACTATTTAAAGAAGTATCTATGATGTGTTTTTTGCCATATATTGTTATTCATAATGTAACTGTTAAATATTGGCTTGTCGCTCTCTCACTCTTTAGGTAATTTGGCCACTGAACAAATATTCACCTCAGCTACTGAGACAAATGAATTTCTGACAGGGGATGAAGAAACAGTATCAATAAACTCAATGCCCATTATACACTCTTCCTTGTTCCTCCTCCCCTCTCTGTCTCTAGTCTTCTCAGAAGTTGTAGGGTGAAACCAGAACGTGGACCCTGGCCACATGCTTGGCCTGAAAGGTGCGGTCGCTGTACTCGGACATGTCCACATCAACGCTGATCTCCTGTGGTCCGCGGAGCTGCTGGACCAGTATCAGCTCACCAGTCTGTCTGTCTGAACGCTGCATGACAAAGATGCCTCGGGAGTTTCCACCCACTATCCCGAAGCGAAGGCTGTCCGGCCCGGTGCGCCCTGGGGCGGCGGCTGTCGCCATGCGGAAAAGCGTGGCAGGAGTCTTCGGGTTGGAGGGCAGAGACAGGTAATGGAAGGACACAGTCTTAGGGGCCAGGTGGCAGGAGCGGCTGTCCATGGGGCAGGGGTTTCTCTCACACTGACTGCAGGACAGAAATGCAGCAAATTATTAAGCCGGGTGGCATTACAGGACAAAATGTGTGTTTAACAGTTTGTCACACAGAAAATGATTGCATCATTAATCTTTTCCTGTGGGAAAGTGTTCATAACAGTTTCTTTGTGACTAAAGAGAGCTGCCACACATACCTACATTCACTACATATGACGTCAAGTGCTGTGAAATCTTGGCTCATAGCAAGCTGTGAACTTTTTTCTATCTTACTTCCTTTCTCTCACAAAAACAAGAATGTACTAAAGTATATACATATTTTCATAGTACACTATTTTGCGGATTAGGGATACCTAACATTAATGTGCTTTTAACATTTGTACTAACAGGAAATGATACAGGACATATACTGACAGCAATCGACAGAAAGAAAGAGAACTATTATATTATTACTAATATATCCAAAGATATAATACATTTTTCACTTTAATTTTCTGAAGCTGCCTCATCATCTACAATTTGTTTTAATCTCTTGCAGCTGTGAGTAGCTATTTCCTTTAAGCACTGCATTGTAGGACATACCAAAAATGACGTACGTCTTCATTGTGAATGCTTAGCAATAGTATGTAGTATGAAATGGGGAAATTACTTCTGTCTTACTTGAGTCACTGCTTTCTCCCTTGTTACAAGTGTTTTCCCAAACATTTAACCATCCCCTTAGTTGGCAGTGGAACAGTATTTCACCACATTGATGGTTCAGTAGAAGCAGACAGAGCTTTGTTTCATGCTCTTAAATGAGGCAGCTTGCTGATGACTGGCAAACAAGGACATGGAAGTTGTAATGTCTCCAAACATTTGGCCAGGACACAGACTACACGGTTTTAAAGAAAAAAGCAACAGGCGTCATCTAGTGAAGTTCTGCTGAGCATGCATGTTCTTTGTCAGGAACAATTTGCTTCACTGTGATCCAGCTATAACCACAACGCTTATGTTTATTGTCATCATTTCTAGTGGTTTTGATAACAGTGTACTCATCTGGGAAACGGGTGAATCACTACGACAAAGTCTAATGCGAAAAAATAACGCAGACAATCAGACAGGTTTAGTCAGATTATTTAAAGCACTTAATTCGGATGTAAAACTGAAAGCAAGTGCACCCAAAATGTCTCTCACTGCACACAACTACAGGAAGTACAGCAGGTCAAAGTTAAATCAGTCTGGTCTGTCAGTAAACTGTGACTGTTTAAAACAGTTATGTAACGTTTTCGTCAGCAGACTTCGACTTACCTTGCAAAAACGTTTGGTTAACTTGCCCATTAGCGATAATGCTACGTTGCCAGCTCTCAGCAGTTACCATGGTGAGTTTAATGTTGTGTTTCCACCAATAGCAATGGTGGCCAAAACTACCAAAATAAGTCCCAAGTTGTATGAAACCTGAGTTTTTCTTAAAGTAGTTTAGCTGGAGAACTCTTGATGCTGTAACACCGTACTCAAGTGCACCTCTTCTTCATTCTTACTGCAGATACATGTATTTCGACCTGTTACTGCACATTCTGGTTCACTGAAATGGATTACTGGCACACCTGAACACAGCAGTCATCAATTTAATTACTGCTTTACTTGCTATTACAAGTCAAAATGTCCGCCAGGAGCCCATTAGTGTCTCACACTTGGGTCTGATTCAGTATGCAGATGGCCATTTGAAAGATATTGACAATTTCCTGCTGAAACGTGGAAGATGTGATCCTGGTTTATTTTTTCTACAGCTTTTAATTGACAATACAAATGACAAAGACGGGTCACATTGGGGTGTATCCACTTACAAGGGAGATGTCTTGACGTAGCTGATGTTGCCATGAGAACGGGGACACTCTGGGCTGACGCACTGAAAGCCTCCCCCCGTGTTGATACAAGTTGTCCCTCGGCTACAGTTGTGCTGCTGGCTTAAACACTCGTCCACATCTGGAAGACAAAACAGCGGAGGTATGTAAGAATGAGAAGCGGGAAGAGAGACTTGCCAGACTGACTCCCTGCTTCCTGGTTACCACAGTTTGAGCAGGGGGTGCTGTGCTGTGATTGTTTATTTGGTTTTTTAAGTTTAGTCTCCCACAAACGCCTCATGTCCTAAAGATCCCTTCTTCTGGGAAACGGTGAGGTCATTCATTCCACTGGCAAGCATCGTAAGCTTCAGGGGTGCAAATGAAAGTGGGCTGACAGACACCTCTGCAGAGACTAAAAGCTCCGCTGCTAAAGGCTCCTTGTCTTTCTGAATCACAGGTATTCCTCTCTGGAGCTGCATACCCTGCCAGATCTGTAGCCAGGGTCCTGTGAATGAGCCTTTGTCCTCTGCTCACGCTTGTCACTCACCCTCACAGCTCCGCCCATCTCGGAGCAACTTGTAGCCGCTGGGGCAAGAGCAGTGGTACGAGCCCGGGACATTCACACACTCGTGGACACACAGCTTCCCTCCTTGGTCCAGCCGATACACTTCACACTCATTTACGTCTGTCAAAAAAACAGAAAAAGAAAGGCCTCAAACATACATCACATGATCAGGCGATCTTTCTCTCAGGTTGTCGTCAGTATTTCGGTCCCTTAGTTTTGTCCATTGAGCATCATAAACATTAGGAGCAACTGCATGCAACCAATTACATCTTAAAAAGCAACTGAACTGTGACCTAAATGGATGCTAATCAGCTTGTGACCCCTCAAGAGGATTATTTTGTTTGTCACAGACTTGCTCCACATATTTGTGGGAATCTGTGGAAAACATTTGTAACCCTATTAATCACTAGAGGAGAAAAAGACTCAGGTATTCTTGAATATTTTCAGCAGTAAAGCCCCTATAACATCTGCGATTTATCCTGCTGAGATGTTGTTGAACAAGACGCCAGCTCGAGGGAACTGCTCTGTAGCTGACCTTGCTTCCCTGTGAGCAGGAGCAGCAAAGGGAGAAGTTTCCCCACAGGGATCAATTAAATAACACATAATTACAGCTCACCCTGACAGATACTGTTGTCAGAGGTGCCACTCATGTGAAAGCCTGCATCGCAGCTGCAGTGTTGAGCCCGGTTCACTTGGGCACAGCGAGGTCTCCGGCTGAATGCTGGATCATTCATAACACTCCACTCAGGTGGTGCTGCATCAAGGGAGAACATATGTAGTGAGACCTGTGCTACAATTTTACCTGAAGCTGAACACATTGTACACATGTACAGTTGTCGATCTTAGCCATGCAAATATAAACAATACAAAGACTCTTTCGTTCATTACTAGTACTGACCTGTCTGGGTTTGGTGCTGGCAGTGAGACCCACTCCAGTTCTGGGGGCAGGTGCATTTGTACTGGTTAACACCTTCCACACAGGTACCTCCATTTTGGCAGGGATTACTTGCACACTCACTTATATCTGTAGGTGTAGGAGAGAATAATTACTGTAGTCAACCTGTGGAGAAACTTATTCAGCAGTTTCCAGTTGTTTTTCATCCTACTGAGGCATACAGATTTTTTCCAGTCACATTAGAGGTTCTTCCTTCTGAGATACATACTTCTGAGATGAATATGAAAAGATACTACCGTGCTGTTTTGATGCTACCTTCAACACTGTTGTCACAGCTCGTTGCATAACCTCCAGCTTAGGGTGAAGGTTTCTTATATATATGCAGCTGTGTAGTGGTGAAAAGTTTATCCAAAGATATCTTAACAACCTTCTAGTGTGCTTCTGTCAACCTTGACAAAATAAAGAAGACTAGGTGCTTGATACAGGTCTTAGAATAAAATATATAGAACAATTCAAAACATAGTCAAAGAATGTCTATGGTCGGCTGAAATCCTCTGCAGCTCTATTCATCAAACAGCGTAATGGAAAGATGATGGTAAGATTAGGTCCTGTTGTGGAAAAAAAGGTGAAGGTTTGCTTGAGGTTTCACTGAAAAGATGAAGAGTGTGACACATATAGAAAAAAATGAAAGAACCTCTGTGAGCCTTTCCCGTCAACCATCCATCCAGCAAGTGTCCACCCAGTTTGATAACTGATACTTTAGAATGAGAAACTGGTACTGTCATTATGGGCACAGTATGTCGGCAGTGAGTCAGTCATGCCCTTTTATTTATTCTATTTGTGGAAAACTAGTACTTATCTTAATGAAATCTAATGTGGGCCATTATTAAAATGTAATTCAGTAAAAATCCATCTGCATCTTCAAAGTTAAAATTGTTGTTGTTAGTCTATACGGACATATACTATGTTTTACTCGTATCTTTTTAGCCTTTGTTCTTTTGAAGATTTGAAGGCTTTTCCTTTCAGCAAAACAAAAAGTTATAGATTACCTTGCTGCACACCTTTTCAATAAGTTCCCATAAGATAGTTCTCAGGTTTTCAGCAGTTCTACTCATGTTTTCATGCAAATATCTTTACAAGCATTTCTATGGCATCATTATTATTGCTGTTATCACCCCGTCATCATCAGCGTTATTACTATTAGTAATATTTTTACTTTTATAGTTGTTATTGTTACTGTCATTGTTACTATTGCATTTCTGTATCTGTCCTTCTCTCTCTATTAAATTAAAATGTACTAATATTTGATACATAAAAACTACTGTTTATAAAAACAGAAGGTGGCATGACACTGATTGGTGATCGACTCTAAAATGTGTTCCGCCAAATCGTACATCATGCCTTATGATCTGTTTTTCTAGGTGGCTCTGAGAGTTGTGCAGATGTTCAAATTATGAAGCAGCTTCTGCAGCGCTGGGGCCACGGTATACTGGATGACAACCAATCCCTTTAATGTTTATTTGACTTCCCCAGGGGCCACCACAGGGTCATAACATGAAAAGGCCCACTTCACTCTGCTAGATATTTTTAAACTCTTCGTAACTTTAAGGTTTTCACACTCCGTCAATACTGCTTTTTAAGCATGACTAAATTTAGACCTCTGACTCTGGGCTGAAACACATGAACAGGGATAATGCTGTGCAGAGTCCAGCCTTTGCATGTTGTTTTAACCATGAATGTCAATAAACGTATGCACATGTTCAACTGAGTGTGCCACTTGGAATTTTTGGATCAGTGCCACCAGCGCAAGCTGAAGGGGCTATCAATAGCATGCTTAGAATACTTCTGTGCTATCAGACCATGGTGTGGGTCTAATGTCTGGACCTAACCCCGTCCAGTGGGACTGCTGTCAAAGAACCAGGGAAACATGAGCAAGAGAGGGGGGGTTTATCTTACAGTAGCCCAACCACTGCTGCTCATGAGGAGTAGAAAGCTGGAGGGTAAGGCACCCCACAGTGGAATGCAGTACAGGTGTTTTTCTGTGTTCAGAGACATTTAATGCCATTTTAAAGAGGGCTTCATTCAGTATGCTGAGGAGCTCCAGCCACTCTGAAGAATGGCTCTTTTCTTTGCCTGTTATCTGTGTACGTGTGAGGAGCTCAGTTTGGCCTCTGGGGCTGCTGTCTCTTTCAGTCTGGCTTTCGGACACTGCTGAGCCTAGGTCGCCCTAAATGGGTGTGGGGATTTTTGGGGAACAGTGAATAATGCACAGACACAGCAGTCCTTCCACCAAATCATACATAGATGGTAGTGGATGTGTCTTTATGTGTGGAGAAAGTCATAGACAAGTTCCTAATCCAGTGATAAAAAAGGTACTGCAGCTGAAGTGACACACATGGTCAAAAATGAGGATTTGTGGCAGGTTAATAGGCCTGGAATTGCTGTATCTTGCTCAACAAACTAGAAACTCACCTTTACAGGTGGCACTGATGCCGGTCCAGGTGCCGTTGTCTTGACAAACACGCGTGGCAGAACCGACAAGATGGTAGCCCTGGGAACAAGTGAAATGGACCTCATGTCCAACAAAATACTTTGAGCCAAACTTGGTTCCATGAGCGGGAGCTTCCAGAGAGGGGCAGGTGGTGGGAGCTGTGGGAGAGAGAAAGAGAGCACGAGAGGAAGGCTGGTCACATGTGGAGTAAGCCTCCCGACATCCTCTGGCATTCTCTGCCTGGGGATATACACGTGTCACTGGGCAGTGCAGAGCCTTCATGCCTTTATGGGAAAGGACGGTTCGAATGCCTCATTTACAGTCAACCAGCACAGGACCTGCCATTTTTGCTTGCATATTATGTATTCAATTCAATTAATTAATAAATAATAATTAAATCAAATCTCCAGAATCATTAAGATCCCCCACATTTATACTGAGAAACAGAAGAATATGCAGAGTTAAAACAAATAAAATTAAATTGAAACATTCAAAGGATGACAATACTCTACACACTGAAGTTTTGAGATCATTGGCTTCAGTTTTCCAGGGGTAGTGAGAGTGTCAATCTTCAGAATATGTCGCTGATAACTCCATGAGTTTGGTGTACAAAAGCTAAAGACAGATTTTCCAAGTTCACAATAAAACCGCGGGACGTGAAGCATGAGACAGTCAGCAGAGCGAGTTTGATACGGTCCTGTGGTCCAGTTCAACATATATGTTATATAGGGTGGCAAATGTCAAATAAGGCATTTATGGAAAGATACATATTATTACGTCTCTGGATTACATTTTAAGCACTTATAAGAATTTTATGCTTCATGCAACAAGGAGGATTGTGAGAAAATGTTTCCTATTCTTTCAACCTCAAGTGAAAACCACTGTCAGTACACTGAAGATACTGTTTGATAAGTCAGTCTCACATGGTCAGACCTCCACCACGTTCAGCTCAGGCTTGTAGTGTAGTGTAATGACAGCCCATTGTGTCTTTTTCTCACCAATTTCTGTGAGCGTTCTGCGTTTGATGTCACAGGGGTATGTACGATAACTGTGTGTAATTAGTTTTTTGCATGTATTGTACAGTGTAGGCAAGCATATACTGTAGAGTTGGCTAATGCAGTACAATATTATTTGGATAATATTAGCTACATATATTTTAAATTATATCTGAATCAAAAATAAATTTGTTTTTTTATTTATAAGTGGACTGTTGGATCCATTTGAAGCAGGTGGTGCTGTAATTTCCCTTTTATCTTTCTATTTTCAGCCTTTATTGCTGTAAATGTAAAATATCAGCTTCTTCCCGTCTTGCCAAGTACTCTCCACAGAGTTATGGACTGCACTGGTCCGTCACTAACAAATTGGCCTCAGTGCCTGCTGCCAAACAACACAATTCCACAAATCCACTTCCCCTGTCAAGTACCCAGCTCTGTAACTGAGATGGCCTCGCGCTGCTGGATGAATATAAAATCCCATAATGGAAGAAGCCACATCTGGCTCTCTATTGTCACTGGATGACAAAAAAAAAAAAAAAACAGTTTGAAGATCAATTTCAAACAATTGAATGTTCCTAAAATGTTGTAAATTTGATACTTTGGAATCTGTTGTTGCCTCTAGCCCATGTGAAACTTCATATAGCATAAATAGCAAAAATTAAAGGACTACTCGTTCGGTGGGCTTTTACTGTGAAAATATATGTGCAAAGCATCACAAGGTTAAATTATTTAATATTAGTAACATTAGAATGGCATCCACCATCATTTTTAGACAACATTGCATAAATGCATGATAAATATTTTCAAATGTGTATTATAAATGTGTATTACATAACCTAATACTCCACTCAATAGTTTCTGGAAAATCTGTATAAGTTGTATAAATATTTCTACCTACAATATCTACGCCAGATGGTCAAATAAGCAGAGAATGGTGGAATATATTCAAAGCTTTTTAACAAATAATAGTTCTCTATCTAGTAATTTCTAGATATAAAAACAACACACATTTATTTATTTATTTATTTTTATGAGCAATTAGAACCCAGTTTATTGTAAAATGCCTGATATAACAGAAAGTTAACATTACAGTTTTACAGTGTATGTAACATTATGGTCATATTATGTACATTAAACCACAACCTAATAAGATCGACTAATTAAAAACACCTGTGTGTGTGTGTGTGTGTGTGTGCATATATTTTATTTCTATAAATAAGTAATATTTTGTTTATTTTTTTTTAACTTTTGATCAGTTACTTTGGAAGGTTAAAATAAAAATGTGGATAACTTGTTTATGTGACAATAAAAAGTTGAAGTTAATAATGATCAACTACTGTATGAAGCTGATGATTGAGGGCAAAAAAACGTTTCCACCAAAAACATTTTGACATGTAACAGTAAGAAAAGGTGTAAATAATCTAATTATTCATTCAATTGACCTGCTTCAGCATCTCACTGTCATTGCTTACTGGGACACTTGAACATAACAGAGCTATTGTTAACGTTTTTAGTGCTTTTCCTACAATGTCCGCTGTGATAAATGCCTATGAGGATAACAACGATGATGACCAGGATGGTGTCTTTGTTTACTACTCACCAGCTGACTGGTCTGCTTGAGGCATCTTGGAGACAGAGTTTTGAAGCGTTGCCAGCTTTGACTTCATGATCCTGAGGCCCTCCGTAAACCGCATCTCCTGGCCTTTCAGGAACTTCTCCATTTGACGAAGCACCCCGACCACCTGGTGCTTATCCATGCAAGTCTGTGAATAAAGCATGAGGCGCTGTGAGCAGAATTAAGAGTTGTAAAAGAGCCTTGGCAAACACGTTTTCAAAATGCATTGAATTTCCAACCAGAAAACGAGCGCGGGAGTAAAGGTTAGCTCGGTTTAATGGTCGTAAAATACAGAACATGAGCGGTGAATAAACACTAACGTGCAGCTGTGGAGCATGATGTCATTGAAACTAAATCCATCTTATTGGTGGGCACATGGTTGTTATGGTTACGGGGAGTTTTCATTGATATTAAATATACATTATGTAACACTGACGAGACATATTAGTGTTTTTTTTTTTGTTTTTTTTTTACTCCACTTGCAGGATTCTGTAACTCACCATGGTTACTTTTACTTCAAACTATTTTTGCTTTCTACTATTTTCCATTAGACCTCATTGCACTCACATATGAGAGCGATCCTGGGCCGTCCAACTCTCTTCTTCTCTCTCTCTCTCTCTCTCTCTCTCTCTCTCTCACTTCTTTCCTCTTACTACCACAACTCCAGTGGCAGACACAGCTGGACAAAAGCTGTCTGGCAGATGTCAGTGGGACCTAAGTCCAAAATGCTGTTCCTCTGTATATTTTGCATGGCGGTAGGAAAGGCACATGCTCATTGGATAATCCTGAATGGGCAGACTCAAAACAACACGGGTGCCACTAGCAGTTACTTGAAGGGGGAAAAGCTTGTCAAGCCATTTACAAAGTTCCTCAGGGAAAAGTGCCTCTAATCCTTTCAGGAGGGGTTTATTAATCACATGCTCATTGGAACAATTTCTCTGTGCAGCATAACTTAAATTCCTGCACTGGCATTTAGAAGAGGGGGCTTTGTACAATAACAACTAGCTTCAATACATTTAAATTCACTGCGCACATAGTTTGGACCTGTGCAGTAGTTAGACGGTGCTCAGTACCTGCCCCAGGCAAAGGGGAAATGCCACCAGCTGACAAGACATGAGAGGATTCATATCCGGATGCTGCAATGATTTCTTTTTTTCAGTATCAAATAGGTTAATTTCTCCAGTGGAAACTGTAGCCTGTGATCACAAACCTTGCAAAACTTAACACATAAGTTTAACACACAATCACAATAGAGCTGGATAAAGTCCTAAAACAGGATAAAACAACACTTATTGTTAGTCATTTATTTGCTGAGGTGGCTTTTTAAGGATGAGAGGGTTAGAATATAAATAAATATGTCCAATATTCAGTGTTATTTATATGTTAATACACATGGTCAGATTTCATGTAGTAGCACACTTTATTGAGCAAGTTTGTCCAAGCGGAAGATCTCCTTGGACAAGTTAGTAGTTGTTGCATACATATATAAATAGCTCTCACCTGAACGGCAGCATGACCGCTCTGGAGAGCTGTCAAACACAACAAAAGCAAACACCTGCGTCGAAAAGACATTGCCATCTCTGAAAAATCCAGTAATAACAAAGCACAAATTCTCCCTCGATGTTTTTTTTTAATGGTGCTTCTTTAATATCCAGTAGGAAAAATCGGTTATCTCTTGTGCAGTTTGGTCCCCTGCTCTCTGGGAGATGCTCATCAGGTGTCTGGGGCAGAGATGCGCTCCCGTCTCTCTTTATGTGGCTCTCGGAAAGTTCAGCCTCCGAGCTCTGAACGCCACCTAGGTTTCCTACAGCAGGAATCCCTCCCACCGAGACAAACATCGCCCTCTGCATCCCTGTGGCTGACAAGGAAAGTTTCACCACAATATAAACTTAGCTAAATCTGGCAAAATATAACATTAATTGTGTGGTTTTTTTTTTACACGGCCTTTAAGAGTAAAAATGATTCCTTTCCCTCACAAAATGACCTTCCTTTTAATAATATTAATAAGTGACAGAGTTGCCTAAACGCAACAGACCACAACTAACTGTTAAGGCTACATTGACTGATAAAGAACAATAATTTTGAGCTTGTTAGTCTAATTAACTAAACATATTATGAGTACGTGTATTAACGTAGGTTTTAGGTTTGTTTTCTAGAGTTGGAGCGACACCTGGTTGCCCATGGCAGCACTGCACGGACGCGCGCAATTGATCTCATCCAACGGTTGTGCGCGTTCAGGGTGCGCGCGTCAGAGTGTAAAAAAAAAAGAAACAAGGAAATAAATACGTCGCTACTGTTACATCGATAAGGACAGTTAGCGTTTAGCTGATTTACACACAAAAATACAATATATTCGGGTCGTTATAACTGCGTAATAGACACATTCAACCGTTGATAAAAGACCAAACTGAGCGTCGTATATACTTCATCGTTGCAGATGTTGAAAATAACGGACACGGATTTGAACCAATCAGAATCGCAGCTCTCGTCGCTCGTGCGATGTCTGACCAATGGCGAATGAGGATTTGTTGTATCCAAGTTAGATCGATCCCGATATTGCTATAAATACGACGGGCAACACACAATCTAGGAATGTTCCGCAGACCTCAGAAGCCATTTTGAGATGATGTCCCTGTTGAGAAACCCTAGGAAGATGCTGAAACCAACGAACATGGTTACATTTCTGTCTGTTTCTCCCTCCGTCTCCTCTCTTTCACCATGGCAGCTGTCAACCGACGGGACATTAGCAAAGCGGGGTATCAAGCTGTGCTCACAGAGTTAAAACGTCATTGATATGAAAGAGGAGAGTGTCTGTTTACTGTCTCTGTCGAGACATGTAACACCGTGAGTTTTTTCCAGTCTGAACTCTTCCAGCATCTCTCACAACCCAACGTCTCCTTGAGTGACTGAGTTAACTCACTCTTGTACCGGAGAGAAGGGAGGCAGATCCGTTTTCCAATGGCTTCTGTGAGCCTTGTTTCCAGTCCCCCAGCCCCTGTTCTTGACAAAAACATGACAGACTCTGAGCTTGCAGGGGATGAAAGGTCGAGTAATATTCTTATGCAATTCTTAATACGCTCATCTGTGCGTTTCAGTGCTGTGGGTCTACATGCTTGTGTTACTGTTCTTTTTTTTTTTAACCATGAATTGCAGGGTGTAGAGTCCACGGTTTCCCCCCCCCCCC